CGGTCACAATTCTTGGACACCCCTGCCGCCCTGACGAAGGCTCAGGTCCGGAATCGTAAAGGAAGACCTCAGGCAGGTTGGTCTCCCACTCTCGGGCTTTTTTACACAGGGTCTGCAGCTTCCGCTGGTACCTTCCCACCTTTTCCAACAGATCTTCCATCTTCCCCAGGATGACGATGGCCGACTCTCCTTCATCTTCCTGCCCCTCATCATCCGACTCAACGACTATTGGCTCCTCCCTTATAGTCCCCGCCTTTAGTCGCTGAGTGACTTCCTCACTATCCCCCACAATCTCCTCAACTCTTATGGTCGGCTCTTCCTTTTCCTGCCACATCCTGAACATGGTCGGGGGTGCCGATGGCCCTGCTGCCGCTCGCCTAAGAGCCTCTTGCCTGATTCCTCCCTGGGTCCTGGGGTCGATATGACCCCCCCACTTATCATATATGTCCCCGTCCATGCAAGAGGAAACCAACCCCGCTAACTCATCATCTCGCAGCCGTTGGCAGAACCGTATAGTGTGGCCTACTTCGCCACAATGCCAGCAGGTGGCATTTCGCCAATCAAAGCGGGGCCTCCTATAGCCTTGGCCCCCCTCCCAGCCACCTCGGCCACCTTGGTTCTGACCCCCTTGACCATTCCAACAACCCCCGCGACCCCCACCATTTCCCCCTCGGCCCCGGCCGCCACCTCCTCGACCCCCTTGTCCTCGGCCTCCATTGCCTTGCCCGCCTTATCCTTGGTTTACTCCCCCGGTCACGCTAGCCTGCGAGGCCTGCTGGGAGGGTGGCGGTTGGGCCACAAACTAACCTTGGGTTGCGGGGTAGCTTGGGGGCCCCATACTTGCCGACGGGCCCGAATAGGGGACCATCTGTCCAGCATGGGCCTGACCCCCTCCAAAGGAAGTACAGTGGTTGCAACTGGGCCAGGGTGCGAGCTGACAATGCGGCACCCAGTGCCCACAACCTAACGTCGGCCCCATATGCGAAGGCCCTGCTGACTCTGGCACCGTCGCCGCGGTAGGTGGCGGGGCGGCAATTGCTTGCGGGGCTTGCCCCTTCCCCGATCCTTGACCCCCTATTTGCAAGTTGCGTTGCTTCCTCTAGGCCTTGGTCAGGATCTGGGAGTCTGTTTCTTCTCCCCCATAGTCCTCTCTCCCCGCCTCTTCATCCACCACCCCGGATGCCTGACCCTGGGCCACGGTCACTCCTCTCTTCCGCACCTCCGCTTTGTCATCATACCCCAATGCCGCCAACACGTTCGTAACAATCTTCTTTACCCCTGGAGTCCCGGACGCGGTGGCATCCCTTTCCTTCCTCTTACACCTCTGCAGCCGCACCTGGTGTTGCTCCACCTGGTCCAAGCTCCCTTCCTCCACTCCTTTGTCGATAGTGGCCCAGGTGAGTTTCTCACTTCCCCCTCCGTGACCCGTCAATTCTGAGGCCTCCGAGCCGGTGAGTAACCCTAGGAAGATGGCACACTGCGCCTCCTCAGACATTCCGTGCAACTTCCTTGTTCATTGCCTCAAAATCCCCTATGGTCAGCAAGCCATCCCCCAACCTGTACTTTCTCCGCATCATATCCCCGAACCTCGCCCAGCTACCATTGGCGGCATCCACGACCTTGCCCACTTCCAGATGATGGCTATGAAGGACATATCTTAGGACTCGCTGGAGCTTGACCTCATCCGACAGCCCTATCAGTGCCTGCTGCGTCAAATCCAAGCAATCGGATACCCGCTCTCCCTTGAAGTGGAAGGTATCAACATTCGGGACATTGCTCGGCGCTCTCTCACTGTTATCCAGGGCATCGATGAGGTCGTCGAGTGTTACGAGCCTTTTCCCACCGTCCGTCATCCCTTCAGGTATTCCGATTAACTGCCTCCGGCTTCGACCCTCCTATTATAAAAGACGATAGGACAAAAGGTTCCACTCAACAATCCCATTCATCACGACCTTACTGGGCCAGCCACCTAAACGCCCGATACTCCAGACCAGACAAACTTTTCTCTTCCTATTTCCCTTAGGCTCCCCTGGGTAAGGCCCATCCTTACCATAGGGGTCCCCCGCACATTCATCTCATTCACCCCATCGGCCAAGCCGCGAGTCAATCAGCATCCCCACTCCCACAACCATATAGGCTACTATACAGTCCATCTTATAGTCCTTCCTTTATCTACCCATGTGCCTAGTTCTCTCTCATTCTCATACCCGGATGTCGTTCCACCAGGGACAACGGTAGCCTTCCGTTACCCCTGGCAACGTCGCCACCTGTCAGGCGCTTCGGTCCGGCACCGCACGTGGCAGCGCGGGACCCTCTTGGCCGCGTCACGCAGGAGTTGGACCAACCTTGCCGAGAACACACAAATGGAGTTTTCTTAGGCCGCTCCGGCCGAGTGCGCCAGTCATACCTCTCGCGAGCCCCTACGACAGGATAGAACCTACGCAAGGCACAACTTACCTCCACCTTACGGGAGCTGTCACCTCCCCTCGGTGGGCGTATTCCCGCCAAGCTACCATTCCATAGTACGAAAGCTAATCAGTTGCAATCACAGAGGTGGACCAGCCAAGGGCGTTTTTCGTATGCTGTAGCATAGGGGGTAGGTGCGGTAATACGCCTATCGGGCCCGCACGCAAACCGACATCTTGGGGGGCTGAAGTTCCAAGTGTGGCTCGTCGTCGGTCGACTAGGACGCATCCCACACACCACGCGCACATCACTTTACGAACACAAAAATAAAACACACACATACACACACATAACACGACACAACACAAACGACGCGACAACGCTGCTAGCCCCTTCGGTAGCCAACCCAAAACTTTCCAATGCGGAAAATCGGATAGGCGTTGCGCGCTAGACTTAATATAAAACCGTGCAGACGCAGAGTCTTCTCATATCGACTAGTAATGCACTCATACGCAAGCAGTCACAGTCATGGCGTACTATGTAGTACCCATACTCAGGCATTCCTCGTTAATCTCGAGGGTCGCGTTTGTCGGCTGACACGCGCCTTGAGGGTTGATCTCTCGACGCTGGACAACCGCCATGCGCGGTTGAAGACCACACACCCTCTTTTGCACCCTTGTGCAGAGCGGGTGGTACACAGGTCCAGAACCTGTGGTGGGGGTCGTCTCTCGCGGCCCTGTGGGTAAGCCTCCCCCGGGCCTGGGCGAAAGTCAAGGGGTTTGACTTTGACGGCTGCCACGGACTATAACGTACAACCATAATAATCCTTAAAAAGCAAACAAAACACATACGAAAACAGGAAGAGGGGATAGGGCAGAGGCCCCCTTACTAAAAAGAGACTCATGACCTTGGGATACCCTTTCCCTCTACGGATGGTGCTGGCGGCCTACAATAATCCCAAGCGTTGCGCCTATGTGCGAGCCCGACGATCCCATAACTTTTAGACGTCCGGGCGACAAAACGTCGCGCGCAGGACTCTAACATAAAGCTGCGCGGCCGTAGACCAATTTTATGCCAACCACCGATGCCAATCGTACGTGGTAATCGTGGCTCCGGCCTCGCGATATTGAATGGCTGAAGGAACACATCGTGAAGGGTCAACCCTCACGATATTGAACGGCTAAAGGACACGCCGTTCGACCCTCGCGACATTTCCGCCTTCAAGGTGGGGTGTCTCGCCGGCCAAAGTAAATAGGCTATGTGCGACGGGAAACCCCTCCCCTACAGAGTCTAGGGCTTTGGATGTCCTGGACAAGGACCTTGAATCCCGGCCTATGACTGACGTCCGACTAAGAAAGCCTCAAAATGCAAATAGGCAGAGGGGAGCCCAGGGTGGAGAGGTGACAGGGGAGTAAGAGGCCACAAGATCCACAGGCGAGAGGGGATACCACTACTAGGGGAGGCCGAAAGGCCTTGGCACAGCGAGAGGGGTCAGCGGAACCCGCCCAGACGGTGGAGCTTGTTCAGGTCGCAGGGCCAGCCCAGGCAGCGGAGCTACCCCCTATTCATGAACTCGAACAGGTGGAGTTTCGCCGGATCACGGGCAGTGACCTGCGAGGCCCGTCGCCCACACCGCGTACTGTTGAGGATGTCGCTCGACAGCCTGGAGGCCCACCTCGATGCGTCCCAGTGGAGGACGTCGCAGAAGGGAGCGGATTAGAGCGGGTCAGTGCGGTACGAGCCAGCAGAGGATGAGCCAGAGGCAGGGTCGCATGGGCCAGAGAGGCCGCGAACTGGGGGGGTTATTACTGTTGGGGATGATACCCCTCCTCCTGCCCCGATCCCGGAGCAGGCACCGCAGTACTGGCCTGAGGGAGTCCCCGAGCCGGATAGCGAAGAAGCTCCAATACCTCCATTGGGAGCTACTACGCCGCCTTCGACGCAGGCAGGGCCGGAGGGGCGAGAGGGGAGCGAGAGAGCAAGGACATCTGCTAATGTGACACCGCAATTGGTTGAGCATACGGGTGAGCCCCCGGACATTGAGATGCTGACCTCCGAGGAGCCACCGCCAGAGTTGTCACACGCAGAGGAGGGGGTGAATGTAGGGGTTCCACTATGGGAGGTCCGCGGAACGCAAGCAGAGAGGCCACTAAAAGAGACGGCGGAAGAGAAGCACGCAAGGGTACAGATGCGTCTTGACGAGATATACCAGGAGAAGATTAGGATGGAAGCCGCAAGGGAAGCGCCGAAGCCACCAATCAACCCTCCGACGAGCGAGCAGAGGATTGCCGAGGTTTGGGCCGATTACGAGGAAAAGAGGGATGCTGCCCGCTTGAGGTCGCAAGAGGCGGGGCAGGAAGACGCGAGGGTGGTTGAGGCACGAGAGACTGGGGACCTGGGGTTCTCAGCCACTAGGATGGCGATTGAGCGGGCAGATAGGAGGATACGTGAGGTGGCGGTCTCGTCCTTCCTGCGGTACTCCATGCTGAGTGATGAGTTGGCGGCTTCGAGGTTAGAGGTGGGGCAGTTGTCCACCCAATTGGCGGAAGAAAAGGCAGAGAACAAAGCGTGGAGGTCCGCGTGGAAGCCAAGGAGGCAGAATGGGAGAGGAGGCTCCAGGACATGGCAGCGATGGTGGAGAGGCTCTTGGCCACTAAGATGGTCGACTGGACGGAGCAAAGCCGGTATGGTATTAAGGGGAAGGAGGTACAGGGGCTCTTTGGCCAGGAAGAAACAACAAAGACGCCACAGCAAGAAGGAATGGGGAAGGTGTTCCTGGACCCAACAGAGGTGCCAGCAAGGCGGGAGGCCGAGGAGAGGAAGTTCAGCTTCAGGACTCCCACGAAGTTGGCCTCGCAACAGGTCACCCCTATGACGATTGAGACTCCTGAGGACGAGCCGGCGTAGAGACCCCAACCTCCAGTGACGGAAGGGGGCCCCACGGAGGAGTCCCCTACAATCCTTTTGGAGGTATAGGAGGGCACCCTTATGGGGGCAGCAGTGTCTGCGGAGCCTGAGGCAAAGGAGGGGGAGGCATCTCGTCTGGATGAGTTAGTGGCAGCTATGGAGCTGGAGATGCCATTAGGAAGGCCTCAGAAACAGGAGACCTCGGAGCGTGTGCCAGACATGGGGGAGCTGAGGACGCAGTTAGGCTCTTGGGCTACTGGAGCTGACTCAAGAGAGCATATCTCAGAGCTGCAGCAGGAGGTTATGAGCGAGCCAGCGACTGCCATGATCCCCAAGCCTTCTGACCTGCATAGGGACGAGGGGACGACTGCGATGGGGGAGGTCCGTGAGGGTAGGCCACAAAGGTTGGATACTCCGGCATACCAGCCTGAGGGAGGCGAGACGCGGGCGGGGCCGAGTACCTATGTAACCAGGTGAACGCGCGTTCACATTCAAACGCGCGCGTTCATAACCCCCGGGGCCGCGTTCAATCACGTTCAAACGCGTTGCGCGCCACGTGGCATGAGAAAATTGAACGCGACCCCAGGAGGCACGCGCGCGCGTTGCGGGCTACGGGGTGGTGGGCCTCGATCTACGAACCCCGAAAGTGCAAAAAAAACAACCCCCGAGAGGCCTACCCCCCCTACCGCATCACCCCCGCCAGATGTGAAAAGTCCTTTTTTTTTTGTGGGGGTGGGGTAATCCCCCTAACACGGCTCAGACGGCCCATGCAGGCTCTCTGAAGGGTCCTCGCAGCCATGTGGCGCAGACCCCCCCACCAAGATCAAGGTAGGCAATGAATATGAAGTAGAGTAGGAGCTGGTCGAATATATACTGAAGATTGGAATTCAGGTTTGTGTTTCAGGAGTTATGGGTTGCTCACGTAGCTAGGGCCAGTTGGTCTTTGCACGTGACTCTTAGGGCTTGGCTGCACTATGCGCAAAACTAGAATGAATCTGCTGCAGAACATGGAATAATACGCCCCCATATGTTTTGTGCTGGTGGTGAGTAGAGACCCTTAGGGTCACTACATGTAGTCCTAAGAAAAGAAAAACGAGAAAAAAAAAAAAAACAAGGAAAAAGAAAAATTCACCCCGGGTGCTGCATGCTCTATACCTGCCTGAACCTAGACGCACCGCATGACTGGCTTCTGCTGTTACTTTGACCAAGGAACTGCAGTCTTGTCTATGGAAATTGCTACTGGTACTCGGTGTTGTTGTTTCCTTTTCTTTTTTTCTTCTGTGTTTTTTTTTTTTTTTTTTTTTTCACATAAAGAGGTCTTTATGGCCCTGGGCCGAGGTGTTACTAGGAAAAAGAATAGGATCAAGCTCCTGAATCTGGATGTGTTTAAGCAGAGATGCAAAAAAGCAGTTCAATCTCGATTTCCTGCACATCTCCATAAACTCATCCAGATTCAGGCATCCGATCCGATCTTCTTTCCTGCACGTTGGAGAAGTGTTCAGCCTGTCAGACGGGATCTTCGGGTGCAGTAATTGCCAGTTTCCCTCGGCACCAGACTTTGGATAAATCTGAGCGCATGTGGTCAAGTTTTCTGTCCAGATTCGTGTAGAATCTTGTGTTGTGGATAGAGGGGGAAAAAAAAAAAAAAAAAAAAAAAAAACACAAGAGATTTCTTAGGACTACGTGCAGTGGCCCTAAGGGCCTCTACTCACCACATGCACAAAAGACAAAACATATGGCGGCATATTATTCCATGTTCTGCAACAGATTCATTCCAGTTTTGCACATTTGCGAGTAGGGCAGCAGCCAAGCCCTAAGAGTCACGTGCAGAGACCAACAGGCCCTAGCTATGCGAGAAACCCATAACTGTTGAAACACAGACCTGAATTCTAATCTTCAGTATATATATTCGGCCAGTTCCTACTCTACTTCATATTCACTGCCTACCTTGATTTTGGTGGGGGGGTCTGCGTTACATGGTTGCGAGGACCCTTCAGAGAGCCTGCATGGGTCGTTTGAGCCATGTTAGGGGGATTCCCCCATCCCCTCTCTGAAAGAAAAAAAAGGAGCATTCACACACACAAACACACATTCACACACTTTTTTTTTTTTTTTTTTTTTCGGGACTACGAGCTCCCCACAGGCTCCCGTAAACACTGCCCACGCTCCCGTGGCCTCAGAGGCACCCCCCCTGCCCCGACAGACCCCTGCGCGAACGCGTCAGTCGCGTTCTTTCAATGAACGCGCGGTAACACAGCCGAGTACCCCGATGTTGGACGTGAGACCGACAGATTCATGGAACATGCCCCAGAGCCACAAGATGAGCAGAGAGGCTAGCGAGACGCCGTCGTTGCCAGAATCACAGAAGAAGAAGGGAAGGCGTCAGAGGAGGTCAGGCGAACAGTGCTTCTTCGGCAAGGGCGGCGTACATAGGGCTCTTGAATGCGCGAAGTTCCTTAAGGACAAGACCGCTGGGAAAGTGACAGAAAGTGGTGGGAGGATGTACGACAGACAGGGGCGAGTGGTAGAGCGGGCTCCAGATGGGGGTAGGGCGCAGTTGTATATGCAGAACCAGGAGGTCATGAGTGAGTAGGGACTGGTCTATCCATATGACGGTAGGACTAGAGTTCTTTTGTACACAGAAGTCGGGTTAGGATGTACATACTCTGAGTCGGTTGAGTGGGTTCTAGGGGTGTGTACGTTTGAGTCCGCCGAGAGAATCCTGTCTAGTTGTACATACATACGTGGCAGGGCTTGACAGGTCCTTGAGTTTTGCGTGGGATACAATGTAGGAGGTGAGATTTAGTTGTGTGATACATGTGACTATGTAGCTTGCGGATTAGTGGTGGAGGTTTAAAACCCTTACTTGGCAGAGAGGGACAATGGAATGAGTATCTGAGTGTTCTTGGGGCAGGCATTCTGTTCCCAAATACGTCTTACGAGCTATGTGTTGGGAGCCGGAGTTGAGTACTTGTATTGATACTTGAGGGAGGTATTTTGCCCCCGAATACATTTGGTTCCAGACTTTGTGGGACTTACTATTGTGACGATCACGATCACTCTCACATGTGTGGCTTTATCCCAATGTATGATGGCTTTGTGTGAGGGATGTGTGGGATACATCCCATGTACTCTGTATCGCGTGAATGTGATGACCGTCTACTCTTCGGTATACTCGTACGGCCTGCTTTTGGGCAGGCGAAATGGCCGAGTATAAGAGGGGGTAGTGCGGTCGCTTTTAGCGGATGTGTGAGGACCCTAAGGGGTCTTGCGAGCCTATAAGGCTCAGATGCTTACCATGCCGAATGTTCATGACCAAGTTATGAAGGGGACCCATAAGTTGGTCCCCCAGTTTGAGTTGTTTTGCGTTTGAGTTGACGAAGAGGACCCTTAAGTAGGCCCTCAGTTGAGTTGTTCTATGGTTGGGACCCCTTTCAGATTATGGAAGGTGGAAATGTTGTTTATTGACAACTATAAAAACCAGGTCGCGTGATAGTCCATCCTGTGAAGAGGGGGGGTGGCTGGGAGACCTGTTGAGAGAGACCTCCTTCGTGAAAAAGGGGGAGGGGTTAATAGATTTAAAGGCATCGAAAGCAATGCTTGAAGTGATAAAGTCTGACGAGGGATCAGGATTACGGTTGGGGTTATTGGTGGAACTGAGAGGGTCGCAAGTCAGTGCATTGAGATGTCGTGGGGTGTGTGGTCTACTGGCTCTGATCAGGTCAGCGGGCCACGACCTGGTGTGAGCCTATCGGTGAATCTGTTTGTGATTGTGAAAAGGGGTCATGAGTTCTATGTCGTCCCATAGGAAGCTGGTAAATACCCTTAAAGGTAAGACAGACCCCTGCGTAGTCCCGCAATGGGCCTGTGAGTCTGTTTTGCGACACACCGTCTGGACACCGGTGCTAATCATAAGGCATATAAAGGAATATCAAGCTAAACGGTAAAGGTTAGCACCTCTAGGGCGCAACCCCTATTGGATGGCTGCAAGGCAGCACAACCTGGCTGCGGGCCCTCGTCCACCCACGGGGTAAGAGTTTAAGAAGTTATGCACGCCTCACGGAAATTACTCCGGCAGGATAACGCGGGATACGAGTCGAATTGCTTGACTGTCTTGATTGAATGCTTATCAGGAGAAGACTTATCGTTGCGTAACCAACGAAGGGTATTGTCGCTAAGTTAACAATGTGATAGGCCGTAGGCTTGGCTTGATCGACCAGACTATGGTGGGCCGGGGCGAAGACCTAGCCTTTCTGTACTAGACTGCAGAAGGGGATGAGAGGAGGTTTAAGTATACATAAACTCGATTGTGAGAAATTTCGTGAGGAAGGCGAGAGTGCCTTCTGAGGTCTCGTTTAAGGCCCGCGTCCCCGAATACGACTCTGCTTACGGGAAAGAGTCTAACAGGGACACCCAATGAGAAGCCAGCGTTTGTCTAGGACAAAGGGGAGGGGATGGCTTGAGGTAGCCTTTGAACTTATGCTATAGTATTGATGCCTAATACACTTGCGTCCTAGCGTCAGGACAACGGAAACCCAGGTTGAAACCCTGACAGCATATAGTTATGTCGGCCCAGATTGTTGGAGGCCTCGACCCTGAGTCTGTCGGCTGATCGGATTGGTTCTGCTCTCATCAGCATTTRRA